ACTTCTATCCCTCGAATCGAACCCTGTTTAAAGGTAGAGGTTGCGATGAAAAAACTTGAGAGTAAACTTGAAGCTATTGAAGCTACCTTTGCAAGGGCCTAGCGCCTTTCTCGGGCATGTTGCATGCACGGGAGCGCCACATCTGTAGTCAACCTCTACAGACCAGTTCTACTTGGATTGTGCCTTTAATTTGGGAAAAAGTCTTTCTATCCAAGCAAGAATAACCGTATTTCGTTCTACACCACAGGAACATGATCCATATTAGAGTATCCTACCACACTACCATCGAATATCAACGGCGAAAACCTGCCCGTAACCTTTTATAGCCAAATTTATATTCTAATTTTCAGTACCTCCTCATCCGATTCAGAAGACGATGCATTCTACATTAATAAACTACTTGTTGCCGCTTCACTTAATCGAGTGAGTTCTTTCCTTATGCTCGAATGCGAGAAAATTTCACAACGCATCAATTCCAGAAATGCAACCGTGGCCTTGCCTCCACTATCAACAGTGAAGACGGCGAAAACGAAGAAAAGCAACAGATGTATAGTCTCCTGATATAAAACAATTTATAGCTAGGATAATCGTAAGAATAAAGCACAAAGATTTGATTAGTTCGAGCAGTTGAGGAGCAACTGGACGGGGAATATTAGTGTAAACAATAACACAGCCAACACAATATCAACGTTCAGAAGTGACTTTGTAGTGTAGAGGTGAAAAGAAAGAGTTCTCTCTGCATTCAGAGTTCAAGTGAGTTCTGAAGCGAAATATTCGGAATATATTATATCACTTACTGTTCGATGCATGCACACAAAGAAGGAAGCAAAGGACTTGAAAAGAAAAGAGACCAGATAGTAAGAAACGGAATACATAGCGTGAAGGTGGCGAACCGGATGGGCAATGACGACATCGGTACCGGGGTGATGTTCACCAGCTCAAGTATAATCAAAATAAAATAGTATAGTAATCAGAAGAAAAAGAGTAATTTGGAAAGGATGACGAACACAACACTGAGAATCCGACTTATGAATACAGATACAAAAGTTTTTAAGGAAATCCAGCAAATTTGGAGTCATTTTGAGGCAAAACAATTTAAGACATAGGATAAACGGGTTCTGGAACTGATTCCCTCATATCAGGCATGTAGTCACGGGCCATTAGACACGCAAATACGGTCATCACCATTTTCGGTTTCACCTGAAGGAAACAATAGATAAGTAATTACCAGAAAACTTTACAAAACCACTTATAATCCTGAAATCTAGAAGGATGCGAGGAAGGACGATATTTTGGAATCACACTAAGTGAGAGCGTGAAAACCAAGCTTGTTTTAGCCAATACTTTCTTCAATAGGTCAAATGTTCAACCGAACATACACTAAAATTTGTAAAAACTGATCTGCAATTAAACATACTTCAACGATATCCTCAGGCAACGCGTATATTTTGGCTCCAATTTTTCGACCACACGTGATTGCATATTTGGCGTTTTCCATATTATTACTATTACTCACCTTAAATAAGACCTTAATACGTGACACAATCAATTAGTTAGAAAGAATAACAAATGTATTCCACTTCCAAAACGCAAAATGCCAAATCACTCACTAATGAATAATCGATGACATTCGGTTTTATAGCGTCAATAAGGTCCAACACAACTTTTGCATCGGAAATGGATGAATCTTGGAAGGAGCGAATCGAAGACGACTTCCCGCATGATGCTAACTTAAAAAGGAGAATATGTAGCATTAACTACGAAAGATAGACTAAAACCGCACACTGTCCAAAGTAGCATAAAGCGCGCTTCATCACAAAAAAAACTATTTCTCAAAGCTTATCTGTGCCAGATTTCAATGGAAATTACCGAACCTTACGGTTGACCCAGGCGACGATGTCCTTGTCAGCGGGAAGTGAATCACCACTTTGAGTACACTGCGCCAGAATCGTCAGAGTGTAGGCCCTCATTAATTGCCACACAAGTGCTGAAACACATCAAACTTAGAGTCACGTTAACCACGAAGCCTCTATACTAGAAGCGACAGCAGTACAATTTGTTGGGATACTGCATAGCTAATTCTGAAAATGGAATCCATCGATAATCATACATACCAAGAGTAAGGGTTTGATTTCCATCGTAGATGTCTTTGCCTTGGATACCAACCAACGAGAATCGCAATTGTTTGCCAAGTTCTACTGCATAATTGCAATTCTGGATTTGGTCCATCATACCCCTCAGCTTGTGAAACACGCGCACCACTCGCTTCCATTGTACGATTCCAGGACGAATGATATCATAGAGCTGGAATCGAAGGGAACTCGTAACCTACAACAACTTGTCGCTACCTATCATACCTGGAATATTATAACGCCATTCTGCAGATCACTGTAAAGCCAATTCACGTAGGGATTCACACCCATTGAATTCATCCAGTTTCTGTACGTTCTTTCCTCGCGCGTTTCCTCGACCACTTCCTCGACTAAATAGAGGTAAAATATAGTAAAATTAAATTCTTATAATAAATATAAATCATTTGAATCGCCTGTACAAAAGACTCAAAATGCAATTACTTCTAATGTACTTATAACTGAAAGTGAAACTACTTAGTGACAATCACTTTATGTAGGTGATTGAAGGAACTTACTGATTTCATCAGCGGCCGGATCAGGTAGATTGGGATGTTTGTTGAAAAGGTTTGCGACAAATGCAAGATTCAACTTGTAGTTACCACTGGCGACATCGTTGGGGGTGACGAACTCACGGCAGTCCAGCTTCTCCGCTTCATCCAACATTGCTGCTGCACGACTCACATTACCCTTAACCGAAAGAGGATTGAGTGCATAATTGCACACACTAGCTGAATTGGAAAAGCTTCACGGGTCATCTTATGTTGTATTTGCAGTCAGATTGCAATAAAATTTAGCGTGATTGAGGTTCTTAGTGTTCGTTAAGTATTTTCACACCTAATTCTTCTATCTTGGCCTACTACTATATCTTTGACCATCACACCAACCTTCACAGAACCCGTACCTTTTGTCTTAACATTCATTACCAATATACACTACTTCCACTGAAATATGATTCGTCTCAATGTGGAGCTTCCTCAAAGCTTTGCGAACTGCGTGCAATGGCCGTGGGGCACATGCCACTAGAGCCGCAAGATTCGTTTACACTCGTTCGACATCGCGATCATCCGTATTGATATCTGCTATATCTGCTAACGATAACAAATCAGTGTTTGGAGGCAGTTCAAAAGCGGCACTCCCACTGACGTATGAAAGGAGCCGGAAGCTGGACCGCAATGTTTCAGCCATCCATTCACCTGTTTCAAAATTCACTACCACATGATCGCCGCTTGCCACATGAATTCGAATGTGGCTTGCAACATGTTTCAGGATTTTAGCAAAATTAAAGGGCTGCAAAAACTGAAGGCAAATGCTACGCCTAATTTACCGCAGGCTCAGCAGCCTTTACTTGCACAGATCACCAAAAATCCTGAAATCAAACTTCGCTTTACCTAAGATCGCAACACTTTCAACACAGGGCTGATTGAATTATATGTGCAGAGAGACCCTACCGATGCTCCTGAAGCACTTTGGTTGGTTTATCTCTCTACCCCTCGTGATCACATACCACCACTAACGTTTTAGAACGTTGCCTTCATATGAGCTAACCTGGCGATGAGCTTTATGAGGTGAGGCCAAAAATAAGAGGGAAGACAATTCTTAACATTAGTAACGACATCCTCATTTCGAAAACTATAGATTTGGACTTCCCTGAGGCTATTCTGGGCAGTCGCAGACAACCAATCTCGCTTGAGAGCTTTGGCTTTCTCGAACTAAAACCCCTTTTGTACGCGAAAGCCGTTTATGCAGTGCACAATTGCAGCTTGTATAAACTTCGAATTCAATTACTTTTCATTTAACCTTCCTCTCCCGTTCAGAAAGCTCAACTTCAACCAACAAACGCACGCAGGAGTGATTGAATTCCAAGATACGTTGCACTGATTGCTGCACTTAGAAACTGCTGTTATTTACGAGAGCATCTAAGCAAAAGTGAAAGCTTTTTTTGTGAGTTTACTCGAGCGCGTGTTTTGGCATTTCAGAATAAGTGACCTGGAGGAACGTTCGTGACAGAGCTATCACATTTTTTGACGACACCTGACCTTAATCACAATCGCTATAACACAGTGGATATCAATATCCACGTTGTCTCGCTAAATCCTAGCTGTCACAGAGCTCAAGCTTTGATGTTAACATCTGCATGTCCTCACTGTTGCTCAACGGCCGAACGAAGCAAGTAAACGATAGATGAATCACCTTGACTGAAAGTGGAGACAGGGTCACGCCACAGCCATTTGGTGCTATTTGATGAAGCAGATGTGTATAAATCTCAGAATCATTGATATCAGTGGTGAAGTTTGTCAACCGACGGTTGACATTTGCCTGAAAATGAAAAACTTCGGAAGCAAAATTAGACTTTCCCTTCTATACAGGATCTGAACGAAACGCACGTTTTCCATGTGATAGTTCACCCATCGCATTAGAATCTCTTCTGGTGACAATTTTCTCAAATCGTCGAGCGTCTCTCCTTCTTTTAGTAAGCGGAACAATCCTGGACAATGTTGTAAATCAATCTGGTTGAACAGACCAATCTGAAATCGTTAAGAATAACGATGCTTCGAGAGGAAGGGCAAAAAAAAGAACTTACTCTGATTATTTGCCAAAGAAGGCCCAGCACAAGGTGAGGAGTTCCCTTGCTAAGGTCTATGTTGTCAATGTTAATGATATTGCAACCAATAGCCTAAAGAAGTCTCGCATGTTGTGGTATTATTGAAAATGAGCTACAAGGTAAGTTCGAGCGAATCAGACAAAATTATAACGAACCTGCGCTGACATTAGTGCCAAAGTAAGATTTTCCAACTTGGTGTAGGTATTCAAGTTCTTCTTATTAATTGCTTTCTCATGGATGGTACCAGCAACAGCCAAATTTACGAGTTTGCTGTAATGCCCTTCATGTGAATGTGGAGATAAGATGATTAAAATTGCATTCAAGTATGGACACGAAAGCAGTCACATTCAGTTTATAATTGCTGTTAGTGCTTTCAATATTCAACAGTGGAAGGTCTGATCTTAATGTCTTTCACCAGTTTTATTTCCTACTGACGACAACTGCTTCATAATCCCATGGAAAAAATTTTGACATTAATTAGTTGCATAAATATTAGCTACTCCATTCTTACTACATCGGTCTTCATAACTGTCACGCTTCACCATCAACCCCTATTCTCTCCAGTAATCATGACGATCAGTAAAAACGCTTCATCAAGAAAATGTTGAAATAGGTCAATGACTAATACTCATCGTCGCAATTAAACCAACAATTTCGCAAAAATATGTGCAAAAATATTTTCAAACAAAAAGAAGAGAAATTCCACTGCTCAAGAATGGATTCACGACTGATGAACTAACCAAATAATTAAGCCATCCTGAATTTTTGTGTACAAATCGTTCCCTTCAGGAATGACAGGCAGTAACCGCTTGAGGTCAGGATCATCTGACAAATTGGAATTAATCCAATTAGAGAAGGCTACTTCTTCCTGCAATAAATTCTTGGAATAAGAAGGCCTACGACGACAGCTTGATGCTAACCATAACAGCTAGCAACAATGCGGCTAACTGGAAAATTTATAAGCTAACCTCGGTTCTAATCGTATGTACAGTGTTTTCTTGCTTGTCGCTCGGAATTTGATACGCACCACTTACTGATCTGAACAAACAATCACTCACTGTGGTAGCCTTCTACAAAGTCTACGGCATTTTGCACGGATGAAACCAATCTAGCTTTTAATTACAGAAAAAATAATTCTGGCGAATTTAATAAAAATGACAAGAAGAATTCGATCATTATGCAAGGAAGGAGGACGTAAACAGATACAGAGACAGATAAACAGAACAACAGAAGATGTTACCCGATTCGTTCCTTCCACCGATTAGTTTCTTGATGTTTTGCTTGCTCTAGCTCATCGAATAAAGCCGCAAATCGAGACAACTCCACTTTGTCAGAATTTGAAAAACCATATCGATCGGAGAGCTCACGCATCTAAATCATATTTGCTCTATAGAGCAGGCTGATGATAAAACAGAATTTCAAACAGCGTTTGACATGAATTAATCTTCGAGTGGAATATCTAGAAAATGCTATCCTAAAATCGGAAGAGTAGAAGAGATGAAAGCACAAACGCTGATTCTGTCATGACGAAGCTAAGAACAGCAAAAGAACATTGCAGAAAGATTGTGAATCACTACGGAGCCATTGCCAGAGATTTGGACACTGCACACTCAGACTGCATATATTTGCTCAGAATACGGCATTCTAAGACTTTTTCGGCACAGATGAGAATTTTCAAGCTCACTCAAAATAGGGTTCACAGTCAGAGCGCTCTAGTAAGAAATGTTATGGACACTAACAAAAGCATTACAATAAAGACAAAATTGCCAAATATTTTCGCAATTTTTTCACACTCGCGGTGGGAAAATGATTAGAAGCTTGACTCTGAACCTAATGGCAGAAAATTTTTGAAAAAAAAAATTGCCAGGCTAGAATGCCCAACAACGATAATCCATTCGCTTCAGGAAAAAGCTGACATTTATTCTCAGGCGGTCAAATGTTTACCTTGTATCCTGGTATATCGATACCTAGCACTTTCAAAGCGGCTTGAAGATCGCTGTGTGGTAGAAACCCCGTGCCATCTTGGTACACCTAAACCAGTGTTTATAAGCAGTGAGCAATAGACATAAAACAGACACAAAAATTAGCTCCTACCGTTTTAAAATTCTCCGAAAGATCTTCGATTTGCTCTGTTGTGAGCATCGGCACCTCTGAAATTGGGAAAATTGACATTCAGACTTGGAGAAGGATATACTTTTGAACAAGCAACAAAGTTGTGATATGATAATATGTGATAATTCGCATTAGGGAGAGGAGGAAGGACGGTTTGTAAAAAAAGAGAATGAAATGGAATGAATTCGAACCAAAAAGACAAGGAATAGATGAAGGCAAACACTGATGGTGGGTCTAAAGAGGGCGAACATAACAAATGCATGGAATTTGGTTGGGAAGCCAATCTGAAACACTACTAATGGCCAGTGATATGAGCGGAAAACAAATGCAGAAAACTAAAAGCTACTTCCATAGCAGTGGGCAGTCGAACAATGGATTCAGCCTCTGTAGTATCAACTGAAAAACAAGGTGGTGAAGTGGTGAGCAAACATAAGACAAGACGATGGACTGCCGAAGATTAGTCAGCAGCAAAAACTTTGAATAGCATTCGGAAAATAAAGGCTGACTAATCATCACATTAAATTACATGATTTATCAAACAAGCCAATGATAAATGACGGTAGCTCCCCACCCCCACAAAATTAATTAAGCCTGCTGTCGGCAGCGGGTGTGATACGCTATTCGTGGTATTTGTGCACACAAGCCTATGTACAACCGCCGTATTCAAATCGATGAACGCCTCTTATCTCCGCTTGTGGAGAATGGAGCAGAAAGTTTCAATGAATACGTAAACCCCCGACTACCAAGAATCGCGATATATGAGCAGGAACACCTAAAAATAATAAAAAGAAGGGATAGGAATGAAAATGTAACCCGCTGAGCGAAATTGGACGCACGTAACGATTCTCAGATGGAGACAAGAGGAGAGCGTATGAAGAAAAATGCTGGCAAGAGGACGTAAGCAAACCAGCCCTTTTGGCGCTTCGGCTGGGACCGTATGCTGAATGTTGGGGAGGGGATGGGTCCCCGACGGTGGACGGACCACTTCAACTCGGTCCTTAGAACCGCCACAATTTGGTGCTTACCTCAG